AAACCTCAAAAACATTTAAATGGAACATGGTTTGTGTCCCTCACAGATACCCAAACCGCCACTTGATGTGCTGTCAATTGAAGTGCAGAATTCTTTGCGGGGAAGAGTTAGAGAGCAAGAAATACCACCTTAAGACCTAGCTGGCAGATCTATCAAGAAAAAACAGCTTCACATTTTGATACTTTTGTTTAATAAGGTTTCCATAATTTCATAGCCTAATTTCCCTCCACTTATCCTCATCTATAGATACAGTATAGAAACTCAAAATACCAGACTCCAAAGTGGCAAGTTTGGTTCTGATCTTGGTAACGATGAGTACTGGCATGTGAGGGCAAGGATGGTTATAAGGAACCGATCTAAGAAGAGAAGGGGAAAGACAGGGGACACATGTGGTGCCAGTGGGGGCAGGGTTCCAGTGGGAGGCTCAAGAGTAGGGTGGACCAGGGCCCTGGAGGCCAACATGGGATCCAGTTCATTACATTTTAGCTGGACTACCTCGGGTGAGTTCCTCAACCTCTTTGGGTGTCAGTTTTCTCTGCAAATGGGGGAGATGTTCTCTTAAGGCTTTCAGGATTCACTGGGATAGTTCACTGGGGGGCCTCTGGCACGGAAGGCGAGCTGAATTCTGGGTCTGTTGCTAATTGTAGGGTCCAAGAGGCTCCTCAGAGGGGTTGGGATGGTAGCACTTTGCTCTTAGATCCAGAAATGAGTTTGGAGAAGGCTAGAGCATGAAATTACTACTCATATCGTGAGGTTTTCGGCATGGTGAGCTGCCGCTGAGGGGTGATCAAAAGGCTGAGAGTCTGTGCCTTGGAGATCAGGAGAGATGAGCCCCAGCTGGAGCCCCAGGGAATGCTGCAAAGCATGGCAGGACCACGCAGGCGGCCAGGTGTTCCCCAGGGCCCCTTGCCTGCATGCTCATGTCAGCACCTGCCGAGCAGACATATTTTTGACTGCTATCAAATGGTAAAATAAATCATTACAAATGTCTGATCAGCAGATAAAAGCTTTCAAACAGTGGGGCCGATCTAGTGTGAAATGAAAGAGCAATGGTTCTCTACCTTCCTCATGCTGCGACCCTTTCACAGTTCCTCATGGGGTGGTGAGTCCCCCAAACCATAAAACTATTTCCGTTGCTACTTCATCGCTGTCATTTTGCTACTGTTGTGAATCGGGCGACCCCAGTGAAAGGGTCGTTCAACCCCCAAAGGGGTCCCGACCCACAGGTTGAGAACTGCTGTGATAGGGCATTTTTGAGACTGATTACTTAATGGTGATTCTGTTGTGTGAGAGGCTCACATTTGACAAATTTGCATGTCCTTGGGGTATGATAGGGAAAAACACGCCCCCCAGTTGTTCTTGAAAAGGGGAGGCCAGCTATTCTTATTGAATGAAGCAGGCTTCCCCAGGTGAGAGCCTGAAAGAAGGTTGTGACCAGAGCAGGCTCCACCACCCCTACCCCATTCCACACCTCCCACCCCCCTCTTCAGCCCAGAAAATAGCTTCCTTTGTTGGAGGGGAAAAATACACCTGAGGTGAGCTTTCTTTACTCCTCCACTTGCATCCAATTTGTGGAGCAGGTAAGTCCTACCAGGTGCTCCAGTGGGAATGAGGCATCCAATGTTAATTCACAGAACCCCCACCGGAAATCAAAGCTTTGTCTAAAGCCTTTCTCTGAGAAGAAAGAAAAGAAATGGTCGCTGCCCTCAGAGGTAGCAGAGCAAGTCCACATGAAAATGTTTTGATTCCTCAGACGCAAAACCTTTTATTTTTCGCTTCACTCTGCATTTGTAGCGAGGCACATACAGGACATTTCAATCCACACGAGCAGTTCCCAATTGTCGGAGCAAATTAATCTTTGACAAGCTACGCAGCGGTGAGGCTCCGTGCTAAACAGTGGGTGAAATTGTACACTTCCCTCTGTACGTGAACCTGCTTATTACAATAAAATCCAACATCTGAGCTCACCACGGCCAATGGCTGCAGCCCTCTCTGCTTGTGTGGTGGCGCTGGCCGCCCCCTGCCACCTCGGCCCTGCTGAGGTAGCTCTCTGATCAACCACCTGGGTGGGGCAGGCTGCCATTTTCAGCTTGAAAATAAAAACCTGTAAATCTGCTCCCTGGGAAGAGAGACATTGCTGAATCGTCATTTGCCTCCAGAATACAGAAAACAGCAATTTCCTGGCAGCTCATCAGCGTTGGAAACACCTGCCACTTCCTTTCTCCCTTGCAATTAACATGCTGCATCCGGCATTGATTGTTTCCAAGCAGCCCAAGGCTGCCAAAGTCAAGGTTGAAATGAAACAGTACAACCTGATATGATTTTTCACAGTTTTAGAGACACGCATTTCTCTTTAGTGTCAATAGAGCACACAATGGTTAGGGACGTAAGTCATCACGCTTGAGAACACACGGGGGTACCATGGGAGGATGCTCAGGAGGAAAGACGCTCATTTACTGTCACCTTTATTTGGGCGAGGGGAGGGGAGGGCGAGTACTCGTTCAGTATCTCAGCACCAAGCGCACGGCCACCGGACCACATGAGCATCCAGAGACGGGAGCCAACAGGTCAATGAAGGAATGGTTTGGGAGAACCAGCTCAAGACCTGTTCCCCGGGGCCAACCGACTTCAAATTCTGAACTTAGACCTCTTCCAAGCCTTTTCGTTTAATTCAGGAGCTGTTTGAACATGGCTATGAAATATGGCCTGGTGTTGGGGCACTGTGCACGTCCTCTTCAGAGTCCTAAGTTCTCCTGCCATGATCACAACAGGCACATTCTTTCAGGGACAGGCCATTGTCATACCACTCCTCATACTGCATCAGAGAGCCCGTCCTCCACCTGTACCACAGTTTACACTGCCAGGGTCTTGGAGCACGCTCTAGGGGGAGTCGGGAGGGGCATGGCTTTAAACAGCTCATTGAAATAGATCCTGGTGACGATTGCTATGTGCTGTCAACCAGAAACCAGTCTAAGCGGACGATTGTAAGTGCGAGGTTTGTGTTTTGCTCTGGTCGGCTAAGACTGAATCTTAAACCACAGAACATAGCCTTTGGAAGAAAAAGTGAACCCACTGCGTCTCCCATTTATGAACAGAAGACCAGAGCCAAGAACCACCTTCTTTGTTGGCCCTCTGGGGAGAACTTGGCTTTTACATGGAACTGGGACAAATTAAAATAAGTGGCAATTAATTCTTTTTTGTTATGTGTATGCAGCATCAAATGGTATCATTTCATGTAACGGACCCAAAGGGCTGGGCTTGAGTAATTCTGAGTGTTCTAGAATGAAAGTGTAAGTTATATCTCTTTCTGCAAATGAGTTAATATTCCTGTGCCCCTGTGGTCACAACGTTATCCTTAAATACTTGGTGGTTGAAAATATTACCTTGACTAGCTATACAAAGTCATTTCATGCTATAGCATTCACTGCCCCACATCTTTGGGTAACAGTCACACACCACATGACGTCCATTTGACAATGTCCCATAAGGTTATGATGGAGTTCAGAGCTCTCTGTTGGAGAACGGGCCGGAGTGAATCTAACTGCTGCAATCGCTTGCTGTAGGCAACAACACGTGTCTCTCACGTCGCTTGCATCCAAGTGACTGTGCGACCAGTGGGATTATGATACATACACATATAGCCCATAATGAGCACACTCGATAATCATCAGAACCATGTATGTGACCGGCGCATGTATGTGCTGTCCTTTCTATCAAAGAAGCTGACGTCTAACAACACGCGCTTTGGCGGAAGGCAGCGGCATCTGCTCGCGGTTCCACGTGTCTTTGAGTGCCGGAGTGTTTCCTCACTGATTTCCTTTCAAAAGGATCACCGCGAAGTATGCCATGGCTCCCGCACAGCCAAGCCAGCTCGAATGACAGCAGCAGCACGGGGCTGAGGGCACCGTAGGCTCGGATGTGAAATGAAGGCGGTTACACCACTGGAAGGTGAAGCGCTCTGGTGATGGCTCGTGATTGAGACATGCCGCGCTGAACGTCACAACGATCCTCAGAAACAAAACATTCTCCTAGCGGATGAAAGGTGGGACCCACTGACAGCTGGGAGGCTAAAGAAAATGTGAGCGGGACCTGTCACCGACAGGGAGAAAGTGACACTGACGTGGACTGGGGAACCAGACATGCCAGCGGATCCCTCCACACTGAGAAGTACTGTAAGGCATGAAGTCCGTTCGAGATGCTTCAAGAAAAAGGACCAGTTACACATGTGGTTTGCACAAGGGCCAAGTCACATAATGTTCAATTTCACAGGAACCATGGTGGGTGTTCAGCAACGTATGACTCTGTTTATAGATCAGATAGCTTAATATGCCAGTATCTGAGTAATAATGTCATCTCCAAATTATTACACCAGAAAATTACAATTAAAAGGAAATTATATTAGCAAGTTCCATCAAACACACAAATAAATAAAAATGGATAGATAACCAGAAAATGATATTTATTCCCTAATAAGAATCATGCACAAGAAAACCTGATATATTTTCAAAAAAAAACTATACATATATATATATATAGTAAAAGGGAAATATATATGTAATAAAAGGAGGGATATATATATATATATAAAATAAAAGGAGGGAAATATATATATAATAAAAGGAGGGAGAAGAAGGAAGGAAGGGAGGGGAAAAAAGAACTACGACCTTCAGAACCTGGTCAACCACAGAAGGTTGTGTTAAAAGACCACCCATCCAAACTGGGGTTGGCTTAGAGGCAAACCAGTTCTCCTTCTACGTTCTGGCCTGTTGGGGGTACGTGGACAATCACTCAAAGAGAAGTGGTTTGTGGGTCAACCTCCATGGAGGAAAGTTGCCTCTAGAGTCAGAGAAATCATTACAAAGCACCTTTTGTCTAATGACACATTTAAACACTTGCAGAAATGAGAGCTGTCAAACACACAACAGGCTCTCCAGGTCCCTCCCACCCCTTCTCTTTCTCTCTCTCTCTCTCTCTCTCTCTCTCTCTCTCTCTCTCTCTCTCTCTCGGTGATAACAGACGGAATCTTCAAATAATCCCCCTGGGAGACCACAAAGGAACATTTTACTACAACAGGTCACACTGTTAAATCTTCTCTTCCTCAGACAGCCCCACTGAGACGTCCCACGAGGTCCGGCAGATTGGTGCACAGCCTCCATCTCTGCTCTCTTTTCACATTGGAAATGCCATTAAACAACACAAACAGACAAAACAACAACAGATGTGGTCAATGACGTCACTGGAATCTGCTCCACAGTGATGTTAGACGTGGGGGGGGGGGCCTGGTCCTGTAGCATCTGGACAAACCCTAGAGAAAATGCTGCTGCTGTTCCTCTCGCGGGCAGAAGCCCACGTTTGAGGGGCAGGCCTCGCTCTGCACCACTGGTCTGTTTTCTCAGCAGCAGCATCGACATCACCAGCATTTCAACAGCCAAAGGGAAGGCTCTCCTGGTTCACGTCACTCACAGCTTAGAGATGCAGTCAAGATGCGGCATGTTCCAGACATGCTTGCCATTCTGCAGCTGGGCCCAAAGCGGAGTGCAGGGAACAGAAGGCATGCCTCCGTCAAACGCTGGGAAGTTTCTTGGTTTTCCCCCTTTCTCTCTGTCTCTTAAAGTAACATTAAGGCTCGAATGTTCTATTACACTCTCATTGCTTCTGTATGTTGTATTAGGCTTACAAATATGCCTGGTAGATGACATTCGCCCTGGATTGAATTAACACCTGCCTTGTGCGTTATTTGCTTTATGTAATCAGTAATCTCAAGATTTCGTCTCTTTCTCTGGAAACACACTTTAAATATTAACCTAATCTTTAACTGCTGCTGCTGCTGCTTGCTGACATTTGGAAGCCAGTCATCCGTTAAGAAAAGGGGGGAGGTGCGAATATGGATATATCTAGAGGGGGAAAGCAGCTTTTTGAAAATCTGAGGCTCTGTAAGTCAGTGAATTGGGCGGGACAGTCGATTCTCTGTGTCCTTCTCCGGGAAACAATGCTGGTTAGTTGCCAACGGCACTGTCCATTTGAGAGGCCTGCTGACTTGGTTGCCAGTCTCAAAAGAGTCTTTGTATTTTCTTCATTAAAATCTCTGAAAGGATCTTGGGCAGCGGTGGTGCCTCAGAGAGCATTTTAATTTCTCAGGGGGGTACAGTTTAAGTTCTAGGTCTGCAAACTCCCGCAAAAGGGGCCGCTGCGCAGGGGAGGTATGCCTGGTCTGGCCGGCAGCCCTCAGCTTGCAGACAGTGGGGGAGAGGGCCGGGGGCGGAGCTCACGTCCCGCTGAGCGGGCGGCCCCTGGAGAATACGAAGCGCTCCAGGTGCTGGTCTTCAGCCTTTTCCTGGATGCGCTGCTTCTCCAAGGATTCCACGAGTTTGTCCCTTTGCTCGATCACTTGCATCATCTCGGTGAATAGTGTTTGCTCCTCATTTCGGTCCTCCTCATCTTTCAGGGTCTCTAAAGACAAAAAGAAGAAGAAACATTGGCTCGCAGCTTCAACTTGGCCCGAAGGAGTGGTTGGCCTGGCTTCTCCACTGCTCTGGCCTGGTTCTGGTCTTCCATTTCCGTGGCGACAAGGACATGAATTGACTGCCCAGGGACTGCCCGAACAGAGGAAAGGGGGCTGCTCAGTGCTGCCGTAGGCTCAGTTTGAGACAACAGCGAAGACAACAGGGGAGGAACTTTTGTACCAGAAAGAAGCTAACGCCAGTCAAGTCCTACCAGCCCCCCCAACCTCCACCTTCCCGTTCTCCCACAAAAAGAAGCCAATAGAACAACGCAAGAGCGGTTTTTCTATAAACGCATAGGAACCACAGCAAGGAAATCTGCTATGCTGGTTTCTGAGTACACAATTGGCACCAGCGGCTCCTATTTCCACCAGCGAGCCCTTTGTTCACTTGTAGTACAGGAGTAGACACCACCCAGCGGCCCAGGGAGGGGCTGGCTGTCCAACAGGGTGCCCAGACTATGCAGGCAGGGAGCAGGCTTTTCTGGATAGGCTACCTTCTTCCTAGTTGGATTTGAGCACCCAGTTGCCGGGGGGAGATGGGATTGGTAAGAAAGGAAGGAGAGGAGTGAGGGACAGGAAAGGATGAATGTTTGACACTCTAGATGGGAATTTATAGCCAGGCTTAAGCCACGTGACCCAGGTGACTGCTTTGGGAGAGGGCTTCTGAAATTCCTTGACTTCCTCCCTTTTAACCAAAGACTCCAAGACCAGTCAGTGAAGCGGAAGACAAGAGGAGGGAGGGGGTCACCATCTGCCATCTGGGCCTCCGAGGCTGGGCTCAGAAAGAGGAGGGGCATGAAGTACAGGTGTACATCAACAGGCATCCAAGCGAGATGATGCCAAAATGGATACAAGGCAGAGACATGATTGAAAGGGGATGATGTGGCCAGCTCTCAGAAGGTCTTAAGGGCTGAGAGCCTGCACTTAGCTTGGCAGCCACTCTACAGACATATGACGTGGCACAGATGAGCTCTGTTCAGATGCGTGGCTGACCTTTGATAAACCCACAATGGTGCCATACCTCAAAGTATGTCTGAATTGGCTCTCAGAGCCAGAAGCATGATTTTCATCCTCTTAGACAGTGGTTCTCAACCTTCCTAATGCCTCGACCCTTTAATACAGTTCTTCATGTGGTGGTGACCCCCCGACCATAAAATTATTTTCATTGCTACTTCATAACTGTCATTTTGCTACTGTTATGAATCAGGCGACCCCTGTGAAAGGGTCGTTCGGCCCCCCAAAGGAGTCGCAACCCACAGGTTGAGAACTGCTCTAGGGCACATTTATTTTCTGGAAACATCTAACAAGTATTCAGAGCCAAGAGTCATGGATAAGACTGATCAAGCTTGCTAATTTCATTCCTGGTCCAAAACTCAGAGTGGGCACCAACCAGCATGTGCAACTTGCTATGAAAGCAATGCCCAAAGCAGGCCTCCAAGTGTGTTTGGAACAGTGGCCAGATCCATTAAATCAGTGTGTAGGCTCCTTCCAAGCAACTTTTCCAAGAGCGCATCATTTGTCAGAAGGCACACCATCCCTTGCTAAGTCACTACTGCATATCCCCATCTCAATCACATTGAAAATAAACTGGTATTAATGAGGTAGCACTGGGATACGAGGCCCTTACACAGTTAACAGGGTCCTGACCCACAACCCTGCACATAAACTTTAGCATTCTATAGGCACACGGCTAGGCCCACAGTTGTGTGCACATGTAAATATGTACCACACACGTGTAAGTATTACACACATATTTACAGCTCATTCCAAGATCATCTTTACTGAGTTTACCTTAAACAGAGTTAATAAACTGGGTTCCTCGTGTGACATGAGAGGGAGAGGCAGGGAAGCAGACAGCGAGAGATGGTGCCTCGTCTGTCCATTCATTCTCTCCGCTCCTCCCCAGAGGGCCCACCAGTTGCCCTTGAGTCAGCTCTGACGCAGGGCGCCCTGTGGCTGCCAGAGCAGGACTGCATTCCAGAGGGCTGTCAATGCTTGCTTGGTTGCAAGAAGGTGACCAAGACTTTCTTCCAAGACATTTCTGGGTGGACTTGAACTCCCAGCCTTTCGGTTAGCAGTTGAATGCATTAACCATTTGCGCCAACAAGGAAGCCCCGAAGGGGGACAAGAACAGTGGGCTAGAAGGCTCTTGCTGTGTCCCTCATTCAGAACTTTGGGAAGAGGCTGCTTCAAAAGCTACTGCTGTGAACGAGCACAATGGTAACTACTCATGTTGGGCAGAGAGAATGGGCTTACATGTGGATCTCCAAATCCTGACCTGCTCTGTGTGGCACAGATGGATCCTCGCTGTGCCCGCCTGCCTCAAACGTGGACTGTCAAAGCCAGCAGGCTGGTGGGCTGGCTCCCCAGGATGACGTGTGAGGTGGCCCCTCAGTAGAGATGGGGTGGTGGGCTGTCTGGTCAAGCTCAGTGGAGGATGGGTAAGGTGAGGTTAAGGGAGCCAGAGAATACCTCCAAGTTCAGGCAAGTCAAAAGACTAGGGGCAGCCTATGAATCCGCCTAGCCACCCCACTAACTACAGCAGAGAAAGGGACAGCCCAATGGACTGGAGACAGATGGGTGAGGCCTCAAAGAGTCAAAGCACACCACCACAAGGCCACACCAACCTGTCTCTTCCCCGCTACCGGGAAGTCACCTTAGGGACAACAGCAGAAGATAGGGGCCACCAGCTGCCAGACTGAACATTTTTATCCCAAAGAGACTGAGCATTTCCTACAGGGCTTATTTACACGATTGCATCAGACTGAGTGCACCAGAGAGAGCTAAATCAGTTCTTTTCTTCTTCCTTGCTAACGAGCTGGAGGAAGCGCCTATGCAGGTGAACTTGGCTCCAGAAGGAGGAAGACGCCATATTTGCTTTGCATGATTGATGAGAGGGAGACCATTGATGGCATCCTCTCCTTCCTAAGATTATCTTAAAAAAAAAAATAAACAAAGGTAGCCAATGGGCTCTTTAGTGGTAACTATTTCACCATCCTGCAAAAGAACAAATGAAAGTATTTATCGGACGTATTAATTAGATATGACATACACTATGGTTTGAGAATTTAGGTATATTCCAACATTGGCATTCCCTATTTGGTAACCAACACAAATACTCTTTAAACAATTCCTCTCTCAGTTTTGGCTGGTATGAGATGGATCCATCTGAGCCCCTTCCAACAAATCAAAGATCGTCCCTATCACTTTTATCTGTGAAAAGCATTATGACGCTCTAAATAGTTTATTAGAACTAAAACTATGTTGTTATCAAGAAATAGTCTGTAATCGTCTAGCGTACCTTGTAAAGAATGTCTACCTTGAGCATAATGCTCTTTGAAGAACGAGCAAATTGACAACAGCAACTCGAAAGATTAGATGAGAAACTTTGGCAGCAAGGAGGTCATGTCAATGGAGAGAAACAATTCAGAGAAGGAGGGGAGGATGGTTGCACAAGTTGAAGAACATAATCAATTGCCACTGAGTTGAACATGTAGACATTGTTGAATTGGTATATGGTCTGCTGTGTATCTTCCCAACAACAAAACAACCCAAACTCACTGCCATGGAGTCCATCCTGACTCATGGAGACGCTATAGAAGACAGTGTAGAACTGTCCCTGTGAGATTCTCAGCTCTTCATGAGAGAAGAAAGCCTTGTCTCTTTTCATGAGGAGCGGCTGGTGGGTTTGAATTGCTGACCTTGTGGTCACAGTCCAACAATTACTGTTATAAAACAGAAAACCGTCTACAAATGATGACTGTCTAGGCTGAACGAGAGACTTGGAGTCAGTCAGCTTTTCTTAAATCTTGGCTCCTCCATTGCTGTTGGGCATGCTGCTCAAGCTCTCCAAACTTCAGTGTTCGAATCTATGAAACGTACTGTGACTGTTATGTGTGCTGGAGTCAATGATGGCAAACGAGGGTCCCTAAAGGGTTTCGGAGACCGTGGGTTTTATTAAGTAGGTCACCAGGTCTCTTCGCCCATAGAACGAATAGTGACTTTGAGCTGCCAACCTTTAGTTAGAAGTGAACACCTAACACTGCCTCACTAGGCCTCCTTTAAGTACTATGCGTTAGGTAACCTCAAAAGGTTAGGCCCATGAGGTATACGCAAATAGTTAACTTGTTCTTTTAGACTCTGGTCTCAAAATCAGGAAGCCGCGCATGGATCCAGTCCCACAAACACAGGGCAAAAACCAGAGCAACAGGCCTACTTGTCTTGAGCCAATGAACGCTTACCTTGATCCCTCCTGCCAATGGAATCGAGTTTACTCTTGCTCTTCGGTGGCGGAGCCGTTTCTCACGAGTGGGGCCCTAGCCCCCTATTCTGGGAGGGAGATGTTCCCGTCACCAGATCATGTGAGGCTGCCTTCCTCTGGAGCCTCCAAGGCCCTCACCACACGGCACTATAACCGTGCTGTGGCACACCCAAGTCAGATCACAAATGCCCGGAGGCCACAGGTTGCTTTTCACCGTATGCCAGGCGCTTCCTAAGTAAGTGTTCGATACATGTGTGTGATTAAGTAACGTGGAAATGAATGAAGGCACAAGTGAGTGAATACGTGATTTTGTTCCAGCCAGATGTTGGCACATGGGATGGAGCAAAACACTACCCTCCCCGCCCAAGCGGGTGCCAATAAGGAGTGGGTGGAAGAAAGACTTGGCACTTGCCTCTGAGCCTTAGGGGTAGTGCCAGGCAGGGAGAGCACCGTGGGACCTGCAGCACACTCTGCACAAGTTTCCTTGGGGAGAAGCATGTCGTTAGCCAGAGCCCCAGGCCTGTCCCCTGACTCACCATCCTTGAGCATCTTCTCCCTTAATTTCTGCTCCAGTCTGCTTTGATGATCTTCTAGTTCCAGTTCCTGGGCCCTGGGTATGAGAAACGTTCCAGGTTTAAAATACCAGAGGTCTGTGTAGACACAGTGAACGACAAGCCCGCTGATGGTACCGACGGCATTCATTTTAATCCTTTGTAAGAACTGGGGTCTTGGGATTTCCTTAAAGTGAACGTTTTGGGGTGACCCAAGAACCTGGCATTGATGGGACATGATGACTCGAGAGACAATGAGGAGCAGTTGAGGGGGGTTATGTTGCTTCAGGAAGGCCACGTGGCCCACCTTTGGGGGAGACTTCTGTGAGCACAGGGTGAAGAAACCACTATAGGGGTCTATGGAGATGCAAGGCCCATCTGCAACCCTTCCCTCTCTGAGGGAAGCCCGAACTTCACGTGTCACGTCAGACAACGCCTAAATCGCTGACCCTGGCGACAAGAGAATAAAAAGGAAACGGCACAGGAAGAAGAGATTTTGTCGGATGCGAGGTGGGGAGCCTTCAGAAAGAGGTTCGGGAGAGTTGCAAGGAGGAGCCTCGGGTCACAGTGCAGCCCTGAGGAGGCGGCTGCCCTTGTGGGTGTCCTGGTGGACAGCGATCATGGCAGGAGACGGTGAAGCAAGAGGTTCAGGAGTTGCCAAGTCTAAGCGCTGGACATCCGTTGTCTGCACCCACAGGACCGGCAAAGTCAAGAAGGGAAAATGACCCTCGGGGAAGGGTTGTTTAGAATTCCTTATGGCTTCTCGGCCTTTGGGCTAAGATCAAGTAGAATTGTAGAATTCCTTGAATTTGCCATGCTTTGGGTAGATCTCATTCATTTATATCACAGATTGGACGTAAGTGCCATATGGGCTGGCCCTTGTTGTAATAGGGACGTTCCCAAGGACCTGGGGAAGGCGGCTCTGGAGTTCTTGTGAGAAAGGAGGCCTGCCTACAGACGTGGGAGATGTCAGAGGTGCCCACGGAAGTCATGCTATCTCTAAATGAGAGACCATAGAGAAAGAAGACATTTACACTCAGGACCTGAGGCCCCATTTGCGAGTTCAGCAAAAGAAATGGAGCCAAGGGAAAAGGAATCAAAAGATTAGGAGGATAGAAATACAAGAAAGGTGGCATCACGAACCCCCCGAGAGGTCAGTTTTGAGAGCGGAAAGAGAGGCCCAGAGAATGTAAGGGGGCAGAGACATCAGAGAGGTTCATGACTAGAAGGAAGTCCTTTTCCTCGGGGTCCTTCCCTGCAATGAATTTTGGGGTCCCTTGGCTATTCCCTGCTATCATTATTCTCACTACTTGGAGCCCTGGTGGTGTAGTGGGTTACTCGTTGGGCTGCTAATGGGAAGGTTGGCAGTTCAAAACCACCAGCTGCTCCATGGGAGAAAGATGAGACTTTTTACTCCCATAAAGAGTTACAGTGTTGCAAACCCACGGGGGTAGTTCTACGCTGTCCTATGTGGGGGCTGTGAGTCAGGATCCACTCAATGGCAGTTGAGTTTGACTTTGGCCCTGCTGTGTGCGTTGAGATCCCGACTTTTTTCAATAGTCTACATTGTGTCAACCACCCTGAATGGCATCTACTCTTCACCCACGGTGGCAGCCAATGGAGATGGTCCTTTAAAAGAGGACTTCCTGTAGTTGGCTGAGTGCTGCTGTGGAATCTGCCCAGTGTTCATGCCAGGGCCATGCATGCGCTCCCCAGTCTGCTCTGAGCCAAGGATGGGGCACAGCAGAGCACTGCCATCTGAGACAGAAGAGGAGAAGACAGAGATGTGGAGGCAAAGGTGATGGGCAGTATGCATCAGACTGCAGCCACAGATGGCTGCGGCCACAAGCCAAGGAACCCCTGGAGCCACCGGAAGCTGGAGAGTCAAGGAAGTATTTTCCCTTAAGGCCTTTGGAGGGAGGGCCTTGCCAACACAAGCAGTTCAGCATCTGACCTCTGGAACTGTAAGAGAAGACATTGCTGTTGTTATAAGCCAGTCAGCTTGTGCTCAATGATTACAGCAGCCACCTGGCCATGGTCAATAGTAGAGGCGACTTCTGGATGCGCCTGCTATTGACTTGGTTGCCTCGTTTCTCACCTGGTCAGAACACAGGTAGTAGCATTTAGTAGATCTTTCCAAGACCACCCACTGCCATGCCCTCTCAGGGCAGGCGTACAAATGCCATGAGAGCACATGAGAGAAATCACCACTCTGGCTGATGTATAATAGATGTCTTTCCCTTCCCCTCCTGGTGGGTGGCATGTACCTTTGAGTGTTGTGAGACCCAGTCGTGCCTCTGATCCCTCTATCAGGAGCCAAGTGCTCATTTAGCGTGGACAGACAGATAGACAAATGGAACTCAGTCCATTGAAGTCCACTGAAGTCACAAGGGAGTGACCCAGTGCATCTCTCTTCATGTGAGTTACAGTCAGGTACATCCGTGCCCATTACTGCGGTGTGACTGCTCTGTTACCACAGGCCTGGTGGTGGTGGTGGGAGGGGGGGCGGTGGGGAGAGGGGGCAGGGATGGGTGGCAAATACCTGCTCCAAGCATTGTACAGCACCAGACCCATTACCTGGACTCCATTTTGTCCAAAGAACTTTACAGAGAGTACAACCGGCTGAAAATTCACTGCCACTAATACCAGCATTGTATGCAAGTCAGAAAATATCAATTTGCCTCAATCACCATTCTGTATGTACAAGGAGGGAGAAAAAATCCCGGGACCTCACCCTGGGAGGAGGGGCCACCCGAGTCCGCCTCCCCCCACCCCTGTGCTGGTAAGACTCGCTGTTACCAGTGTTGCCTTACTTACATGATCAGTAGCTCCGACTCATAGCGAGTTAATTTATTCTTCTCCAGAACCAGCTTAAACCATTCCTGCAAAAGCTGTGCTTCATCGTGTGCACCTGAATCTGCTTAAGAAATCAACGGCAAATGGGTTAGATTGGTGTTTGGAGCCACTTCCGCAGCCCGTGCGTGCAGTGCGCCCTCCGATGTCTCCAGCCTCCGGGTGGTGGGCACGGCACGCAACCACTCTTGCAGGCTCAGGGAGGATGTCCGCCTGCACGCTTGGTCATATTTCCTCCTGCTCCAAGGGTCGTGATCTTGATAATGGCCGGCTGCAAATGACCCTTCTGCCTATTTGTCTAGCCGCCGGAAACCACTGTCCCCCCTTTTCAATATATCCTCTGCCCAAAAAAACCCCTAGTTCCTGCTCACTGTCACCCTCTCCTCCTCCTCCTTGTCCTCCAACCAAATGAATGCCACCTGAGAGTTTAGGGGGCGTGTAACTCTCTAGGTGAGACAAGGGCCCCCCATCCCACTTTGTCACCGAGCAGTGGGGCTCAGCATTTTAAGTTTTACCCAAAGAAATGCCAAATCATAAAGGAAGAAAAAAGAATGTTCATAGTGGGGGGGGGAGGTGTCAGAGACCCAGACCACGTGCCACGGAGTCAGTCCGGACTCCAGGCAGTGCACTGTCTGCAGGATTAAACTGTGCTCTGTAGGGGGTTCCATGCGGGGACCTTTCGAAGGCAGGTCACCAGGCCTTGCTTCTGAGGGTGGCTTTCAGCTGCGAACCTTTCGGCTCGCAGGCGAGCGTGTAACCATGTGCGTGACCCAGCGACTTCTCGGACTTCGGCGACAGAGTTAACTAAACAGAAAAACCACCATGAGAATGCTGGCACTGCCCTTGCGCTAGTAAATATTAGATGCTAAATGTTTCCATCATTCAACTCCTTGCGACCCTACCGGACAGGGTAGAACTGCCCCTGTGGGTTTCTGCAACTGTAAATTGTTAGAGCAGCGAGCCCCATCTTTCTCCCGCAGAGCGAGACTGGTGGTGTTGAACTGCAGACCTTGCGGGTCACCAGTCCGATGTGTAACCCACGATGCCACCAGGGTTGCTGTAAATTGGAATCAATTCACAGCAGTGGATTTAGATTTTTTTAAAAAGTTTCCATACAAAGAAATTCCAGTCTGGGCCTATTTAAGAAGTAGCAGCATGAGGCGGCTTTCTAGTATTTGACTGCATTGAGCCCACGGCTGCCTACTGGAGGGGGCTCATCCGTAGAGAACACCGCAGACGCGAGGTTTCTGTGAGCTGGGCCCCTCTGAGCCCGTGGTTCTCCGTCCATTGACCTGGTAACAGTTTAGCAGGTAATGTGAGGGGGCATCAAAAAGGTGATGGAAAAATCACATTATCTTTTAGTTCCATTCTTCCACAAACTTTTGGAAGCTCCCGCATGCCATCACACGTTACGCAATCCCCTGCCCACTGAGAGGCCATGTCCTTTAGAGCAGCATCTCATTTAAACCTCACTCACAGATACAGTGGACCTGGAAGAGCGAAGAAGAACCAGTGCGTCTGACGTGTGCTGCTGGAGAAGAGTGCACCTTACCTACTTTGGACACGAACGAGGAAGGCCCTCCGTGAGCTGGAGGGACACCGAGGCTGCAGCTGCGAACTCGCGCACAGGAGCCATTATGAGGATGGTGCAGTCCAGCCAGGGTTTCCTCCCGCTGTGTATAAAGTCGCTGTCATTCAGACCCGACTAGATGGCACCTAAGCGCACCAATAACAACACGCACTCTTACTCTGCCCACTCGATATCTGAAGAAATGCAGGCTTAAAATATCAATGGAACACGTCCCGCCTCACAATAAGTGGCAAAGCCGGGACTTGAATCCAGGACGTGAAGGTGAGCCTGGTCTTCACTGTGACACATGCAGTTTACTCTCCCCTCCCTCCTGCTCCCAGGCCTGAACGCCACCTAACACTCCTAGCATGCTGCCTTGCATATAGCAGGTGGTGCATAATCGTTCAATGCTCTCTTCTACTTGAGAGATTTATATTCACTGCCTCGAGTGATATGGTTAGCCTTCAAACTGTTGCTAAAATGTAGATGGTGACTTCTGCTCCAATCATTCACTCACTCACTCACTCACTCACTCACTCCTCACTCACTACTCACTCACTCACTCACTCACTCACTCACTCACTCACTCACTCACTCGCATACAGGAGTGCGCCCTTGGTGCAGGGACTGCCTCAGGTACTGGGGACGCAGTGAGAGAGAGTGCCAGCCCTCTCATTCTCCCCCCTACTCACATCCAAGGTCCTCTCCGAGATATTTGCTTAACATTTCTGGATCAAGAACCATTTCTTTGAGAGAGAAAATAGACAGGCAGAGTTGGAAATTCTGCCTCTCCTTGTCCGGTAACACTACACCATCTGCCACAAGCTCTGGGCCCTGCCTCGCCTTGTTGTCCAGTCCAAAGAGACAGCTTTACAGGCATTGCTTTACTGTCTTTAGAGTTTTTGTTGCTGTTTTCCAGAGGCAGGCTCTTTGCTGAAGTACAGCCACTGTCCTAGCCAGCTTTTTCTTCTGGGTTACACATCCCCTTTTTGTTTGGTGGCCCTCGAAAAGCTTATCCATCGGAGGGCTGGTTCCCTGGGAAGCTGTACTGATTTTGATTAACACCGGACTCAACAAATGCAGGTAGAACTCAATCACTCAATTGAATTTTCTTTTTCCATGGATTAATTGTCTATTATACAGCCTCTAACTCATTTAAACTTGTTTTCCTCTTCTTAAAAATGGCTTTATTGGCATCTCACTCACCTGTCACAGAATTGAATGGTTCAATCATAATTAAAGAGAGTTGTGCAATCACACACAGTCAATTTCAGAACATTGTCTTCTCATACTTCTCCCTCCCACCCCCTGCTGCCGCTTGGGTAATTCTTAACCCAGTTACTTTCTTTATAGATTTATCGATCTTGGACTTCACATACAGAAAATCATACAAAACCCAAACAGGATGCAAACCAGCAAAAACAACAAAAAGCCTAACAACAGCGACAAAACAAAACCGAGGAAAACTTCGATCGAAAAGCAAACAAGAAATATTAAAATCTGAAACAACTTTAAAATGGGTCAAAAGAGAGGCCAGATGACAAGGTGTTACATTTCAATCTAACCACATCTGTCATGATCAACTTTGCCATGCTCTAATAGCAAGACTATTCATATCCTTGGACTTTGGTCAGTGGGGATTCACCTGAGATTTCATCCAGGTGGGGACCCTGCAAATGGATTTTGGGCTTCCACTGTCATCCATAGCTTTCTGCAAACCAGTGCTCAGAATTCAGGTTCTGCTACCATTCCCTCCTTCACATCTGGATTTTGTTAGTTAGAATCCTTGGATCACACAGGCTGGTCTGTTTCTTCCATGTGGACTTGTTTGAAGGCACATCTTTAAGACACCATATGCTAGTCCTTCTGACAGCCATCCGGTTTCTTCACCACATTTTGCTGTAGCACCCATATCTTCAGTGATCTCTCCAAATTATTGTTATCATTTTTTAGTCTCCTTTTCCTCAGCAGTCAGAACCACTTTTAGGGAATCTTTGGACAGGGATGGTATACAGAATTCCAGGAAATCTGCCTGTGCCAAGCCCAGCCTTGCCGTGCTCTGGAATCCAACACGGCATTGAGGCTTTCTTCCATGGTTTCTATCCACTCACTAGCCCCAGGAGTAGCTTCCATGAGTGTCCTATGAAGTGGAGACTAGCTTGGCTCTTCCCTGTAGATATAATAACGATCCCTCGTGGACGGTGGGTTAGTCATTGGGCTGCAAACCGCAAGTTCAGCAGTTCCAAACCACCAGCTGGTCTGCAAGGTGAGATGAGACTTCCCGCTCTCCTGTAGTGCAATCAATCGTATCCTTGTTGACTTACATGGTACGTCCTCCCAGTGCTTGGTTCATCTTCAAAACGCAGCTGGAGTATAACCCATGAATTGATACCTTGCTAGACTTTCTCCAGATACTTGAGATGATCTAAACCATTAAACTGTGGTTCCGTTTGAGCCCCACGGCAATGAAAAGGTTGTGTGGCTGGCCAGGTCATTAGCACTTGCTTGGGAAGGCTTGAGTCCTGTGTGCCTGAATGAACCCCTCGCTTAACCATATCTCCCAGCAGCCCCGTGGTTGTTATAGTGAAAGTCCGCCCGGGCTAGGGCTCTGACTCACAGGTCAGCGGGCCAGGATGCAGAGAGAACAGTGCAGCCCCTCAGTGAGCAGCCCCCCTGGTGTCCACTACCGTCTGGTCCTCCATGTGGTCCTTCGCCCTCCTATCAGGCTCTTCTAGACTAAATGGAGGGACCCCACTTGCCAAGGTAAAATACAGCCACCCAAACTTTGCACCAGCCTCCATTCATGGGCCCAATCGAAGGGATCCACCTCTGCCAACGGCTCTCAAAAAATGCAAAGCACACGATGCCACGCTCCTGTGAAAATGCTTCACTACCAGCCCCCAACCAGTGTGCTCCCCAAACCCACCCCACTGCCATGTAGGCCATCTTCATTCACAGTGGCCCTCGATGGTGTCTCGGAGGCTGTACATCTTTATGGGAGCAGAGTCTCATCTTTCTCCCAGGGAGAGGCTAGTGGGTTTGAACCCACCAACTTTGCAGTTAGCAGCCCAACACTTACTGGACAGTCCCACCATGGTCCCAATCAATCTAGCCCCTGCCTATTACAATGTGCCAAATTACCCTTTAATGGTTAACCTCCCCCCACCTGCTTTTCCTGCACAAATAACAGGTTATAAATTAACATCCTCTGAATTAACATGATGATTTTTGAAGGTTTTTTTGGCTGCGTGTTTCTGAATATTTCTCAATTGTGCTTTGATGTGCGGGTTTTCAAAACTGGTCTTGTTTTACGCTGTTTCACAATGGAGTCTTTCGCAGTGATTTTCCGCCTCCTTAGGACCTGTGGGAAGCCCTACTTCGGCGGTGGCTGCAATGGCGTCAAAGGTTTTGCCTCCTCCCTGATGAGCTGCCGCATGAGGGTAATGGTTGCCCAAACCCCGGGGAAGCACCGTGCTGGGCACCTCCTCCACTGG